GTCGAAGTAATCGTAAGTTGCAGTTTTTGCGGAGGCTCATTCCAGAAACATTTCTACAATCTAAATTCATATATACATTTAGTAGTGTTTGACGGGAAGCCGACAGCTCAATATTTTTTGATTATAAGACAGGGCTGTCAGATATCATTTTTGTAGTTAACATGCTAAAGAGCATTCCCATGTTGTTCATTTGAAAAGAATGTTGAAATTTCATAATTTGAATAAAACATTTAAAAGTTACTAGTTTATATCTTACTCTTTATGTTTTTATCGTGTTTCGTTAACTATTGCAGCATGATTTAAAGCAACACTATATATATATATTTTAAATTTATGAATGCTGTTGTGAAATAACTACAATGTATACTCCATTTGATGCATTGGTAATGTTTTCTTCTGTGGTCATGGTTTCCAACATTTAATTGCACGTTTTACAAGACTAGTATAATATGGCTGTCATTTATAAATGTATTCGTAACAGCTAATGGTACGCACTAATTTTTACTGAACAGAAGTTCTTTTCTCTACACTGTGATGTAAGAAACTTGGCGTGTCCAATGTTTAGGATGATTTGTGTTTTTAAATAACTACTGAATAGTTGCATATCTAAAAGGAGAAATAATGTAACGGTTGTTCTAGTACCGGTAACAGGATATACATGCAATTTATGAATTTTAGAATAACAAAGAAACAGTGAATTGCTATTATAGGCGAGTGACATTTTACGAAAAGCCTCATAGTTAAGGACTGTAATGCACCCACCTACCACACGGCTGTATTATATATCATTCGAAAGCTTATCATCTGTACTTTCTGTTTTGCCCGGAGGAAAAAAAAATCGTACGGTGCAATTTCAGTTAAATCAAGGTCAAAGGTCAAGAATAAACATTCCAAATTTTGGGGATAATTAAACAAAAAAAAATTTACTGCTCCTTGTACGATAAAGTTTTCCGAACGTTTTCCGAAAGATTATATGAAACTTGTAGAACATGATACAGCAATTCCAACTCGAACAAAAATTGATAGATTAATTGCGCAATATTTCCCGAAAATTGCAATTCTTTTGATTAAAATCCTACAAAAATTAAAAAAATGCTCTCAAAACAAAATTTATTTTATGGGATCGCTATTTGTTGGCTAAAAAATCAAATAAATGTATGATGTGTAGGTCAAGGAATAGTTTTTTTCATAAGTCTAAGATGCAATTAATTTAGATTGTTCATGGAACAGCCTTCTATTGAAGTGCTGGCAGTTGCCCAAAACACTGCCATCTGCGAATAGTGATCGTAATTGTTAATATCCGGGAGGAAAATAATCTTATATAATAAAATAAGGGGTTTCTAAAGCTTGAAAAGAAATTTACGAGCAAATTGAGGTAGAACTATGTTTTTTCGAGGTCGAACTTATTTACACTACAAACCAGTGAAAGTCTGAAATGGCCTATATTTGTACTCAACTGTACTGATTTGTACTCGACCAGTCTGAATTGGTCTGAAATTTACTTGATAATATTTCGACTATTGTCTGAACTTGTACTCGACCAGTACTTAACCATTTTATACGTGTCTGAACCATACGCGACGTAGTCTTAACCTTTCTCGACGAAGTCTGAACCACCATGCTCGACCTAGTCTGAACCATACTTAATCTAGTCTATAATCATACTCGACCAAGTCTTAACCAACCTAGACCTATTTTTTGTATGTATTTTTTGTAGTTTATCAATTTAGGAACTGTTTTATTAACAGCTATTTCCCTTGGCTAGAAATTTTGAACATCAATTTGAAATCCAAAATGCATCTAATATAGAACTGAAAACTGAAACCAATATTTTATAATAAACATAATATAATCATCACAATGTATATCACCTTTAAAATAAAAATAAAACATAAGGACCAAACGAAGTAATTTCTCGTTGGATTAAAAAATATCATGTAATGAACTAAGTTTTTGGTTAAATGAATCTTTATATACATGATATCATGTTCATATTGCATTTTATGTGCACAAAAAATACTAGAACTTGCGACCATTATTCAATTATCTTAAAAATGGTCTTCAAATTTCTGTGTCATTTGGTCTCCTGTGGAGAGTTGTCTCATTGACAATTATATCACATCATCTTTTTTATACTCAATTTGTTTTTAATGTTTCAGATATATTTTATGGTCTCTGAAAAATTTTCACACTAATTTAAGCCTGGTATAGACTTAATAAACTTCCATAGCAATCCTTGATAACCTTTTAAATCAAAGTGATCATACATTCTAATGGGAAGATTGGAAAAGAGAGGCAAAATGTACCAGAGGGACATTCAAACTCATAAGTCGAACATAAACCCACAGCGCTATAGCTACAAAGGGGAAAAAAGACCAATAGACAAACAATAGTACACAAAACACAACATAGAAAACTAAAGGCTTAGCAAAACGAACCCCATCTAAAAGTGGTGGTGATCTCAGGTTCCCAAAAGGGTAAGCAGATCCTGCTCCACATGTGGAACCCGTCGTGCTGCTCATGTTAGTACAAACCCGGTGATAAGTCTTATAAAGGTTATAAGTTAATTTACTCACGGTGATATATAACCAATTCGTAATCATGCTACATTCAACCACATTTTTTAAAACTTTCAATACTAAAAGAAGTGTGAAAGTTATCAAAGGAATATTCAAACTCATAAGTTAAAAACAAACTGACAAAGCCGGGAAAATAAACGAAAAAACGAAAAAAAGGCAAACAACAGTATACAAAACATAACATATAAACTAAAGACTGAGCAGCACAGATCCCAACAAAAACTGGGGGGAGGGGGAGGGGGGGAAACTCAGAGCCCCGGAAGGGATTGTAAACTGATCCACATGTGACATCCGTCGTGTTGGTCTTGTAAGTACCAACCCTGCGATTAGTCTAATTCGGTAGGTCTCATTCGAGGCAGATGACGAGATTGTGGTTAGAACAATTGGAACATATCCGTCGTTATCTATGAATAAGATATTCCATAACGGTCAACCAACTCGTAATGGCGTCCATAAAATTTTCGAAGGGAAGATTTCAATTTCGCATTTTGAACTCTGGAACAAGTCATGCAATATATCCAGGAACTCTTTTTGTAACTAGAATCATTTCGAGTTAATAGAATTTTTAAACCAAATTATTCTTTTTCGATGAATTTATGCATTCAAACAATGAAAAATGCAGTTTAAGCAGCCAATAAGACAAGTTTTCCAATTTGTATAAGTGAATTCTTTGAAATGTCAATTTTCAGTAATCTGTTTTTGATTTGTTTTTGTCGATATTTTTAATTTCCTTTTTACAGTTGAAATTATATAGATAAATAATCTTTACACTACGGGAATGATTAAAATGAAATTACAAATCAAACAGAAAAGTCAAATGATTTTTTTTATTTCAGTCTGGCAGTTACAATGCACATTGACATGTCGAAGTTTCGCCCCCCTTAATTTCTATTAAAAGCATGATGCCCGCATATATTTTTGTTCAATTAAATGTTTTCACATTCTTGAGATCTTTGTTTCTTCAATATTATGTTGACTTCATAAACTGTTTATAAAGAAGAAGCGCTTAAAAGCTTTGTTTCCGCAGACGGCGGTAATATGGGCAACTGTATGAGTTAGTATGGTTGGCTGTTTGATAAGAAATAAGCAAGATTATTGGAAACTGATGATGTCAAAAACTTCTTAAACGCTAATTACAGGGTTTAACTTAGTTTAAAGTGATTAGCAGTTCCATCAGAAACAAAAATTTAGGTTTTCGCTCATTTTGATAACTTTTACTCGAATTTCAGGGAAAATTTGCTGTTTATCAAAACACGCTTTAAATATTTAGAAATGCGTTTGATAAGTCTCTGCTAAAATTTTAAATTGTTTGCATACATGATTTAATTATAAAGAAGTCAGAATATGCAATAAAGCTGGCATCTTGGAAAATATGCACTTATTCGTCCTTGACCTTTGATCTTGATTTAACGAAAATTGCACCGTACGATTTTTTTACGACCGGACAAAACATTTAGTACAGATGTTGAACTTTCGAATGATATATAATTTAGCCATGTGTTAGATAGGTGCATTAAAAATTTAAGTCACTCCACTATTACAGTCAATATCAACATTCTTAAATAGTTTATTTTGAAGATTTCAAGGCAATCAGAAAACCGACAATAATTCATATGACATTTGATACCCTGACACTGCATGAATGCATATAAACTACATATATATAAAACTTACTTGAATAGTGTATTTCAATCTTATATAAATGGATCTAAGTCGTGTAAATTATTGATTTAAATACTCATAAAAGATACAATTTGTTTTATTTAAACATTTACAAGTACTTGTACCAACAAAAATACAAATTTTAGCATTGGTACGTGCATTGAAAATTAGACAGTGTTGACCCAATAAGCTAACAAGATTGGGATATGATTTGTGAAAAAGTGTAACACAGTTAATTGTTTTATTCTAACAGCTTTTTGCTATTTTTACCTTGAAAAGCAAATTATTTCGTACATTTGTTTTTATTTTGAGACAATCCTCTTTTTTTTCCTGTCAAAGTTTGTGTGAACAGTCGGTACCGAGACGTTCAGTAAATCTCTAATATCACTATAAGATGCATTTTTCGTGTAAATATTGTATGATCAAAATGTTTCCAAATTCTAATATTCTCGACCTTCGTGAAACCATTACTTATAATTATACGGGAATTATTTTGTTTGTTCAAACTTGTAAAATAACTTCGCGTAGCCTGTTTTTTATCTTAACGTCTTTGCATTTTTTTAGGATTTTGTTGTTGTTGAAAATGCTAGTCAATAAAGATTCGAATAAAACGCACCTGTCACGAGCGGGTTTCATATTCAAAACATCAGGCTAGTGATCACTGCATATAAACTACAATGTATATAGATCACACGGTCTGGACGCCCCAAACCATTTTGATAGACAAAGTCTTATAATTTCATATTCATTTTATTTCAGATTATCCCCTGTCGAAATCGTCGTAATTGTTGTCGTGACTACGATACTTATAATATTAGTTGCATGTTTAGTAAGGCAACTGTACAAGAAGAACACCCCCAACAACGGAAATAACGTAAGTGTAAGTCAATTACTATCATTTAAAACAAAAACCTCGAAAAAAATATAAATTAGTGAACTGATGGTAAGTACGGCATCAAAAATGTTTCAAGCTTAACCGCAAAAAAAAGAGATGATCATCATTATTCATAAAATATTGTTTTATCTTAAACATATTGAAGTCGTCATTCCTGAGAGCCAATATATCATTCAATTATCTAAAAGTGTTATTCAATTTTTGTATCAGATGTTGTTTCGGTGGGTCTTTGCTGGTCATAAATTGTAACTCATAACAATACAGAAACAGGTCCACAATAAGTGGTGCACAGTAAGTTCCCATAAGAATTCCTATAATTTGACGATATATTAGTTTTTGTTTTGAAGAGATCCGTGTTATTATGTTTCATTTTCAGTGTTCTACCTTTTGCTTTTTAATTTGCCAATGTCCGTAACGTTTTGCCAGTAACGTGCTTCACTATTAAAACTTCATAGTTTTTGCCATTATGTGGTCAGTTTCTCTTCGATTTGTGTTTTCAAAGTCCCTTTTTCTGTCCTCTGCTTCTTTTTTCCACATCATTCTATAGTTCTAAATAAAAAATGATGTTGATTTTAGGCTGAAAACAAGGAACAGTTAGTTATTCATTGAATGCTACGATAACCTATTTCTCACAGCAGCACGCTTGTATTTTCTCCGTTAACAACTGTTTTATCACTAGTATAAGTTGATGCATATCCATTTCAAATTTACAAAAATAAATGTAACACTGGTATGAAATATGTAAAAAGATACATTGTATTGTAGCCTCCATTTTGAAGACGATATACCAATTCCGAATGGCGATCAGAAAGTTTTATTTTGTAATATTATACAAAAGTCATGTAACTATTTATTTGTTAAGAGAAAAAAATCTTAAAAGCGGAATCCTTGTTATTCCGTGCTGATCTTAATACTTTTCAATCTTTCATAACCTATATCATGTACACCCAAAATGTGTTCCACTCTTATTTTAAGTTGATGATACCTTATGTCATCATTTATTTGAACTGACTTAATATTGAATAACTGTATTAAATAACTTCAGTAATACATAATTATATATGATGAAATTTGTTGACTTAGAAGTAATGTACAATAGTCATACATACGTTGAATAAATTGGCATAACTTGATTATATATTTGGCATGCCTCTTTTAATCCGGATATACTTTTCCCGTTTGTTCCACGGATGTCGAGATGGCAGATAATAAACATTTATATGTCTTGATTTTCAAAGAGTTTAAGCTTATACTTAAATTCTGTACTACACATCCCATCAATTTGGGTCTTCCTCGGAATTCAATTTGGCCATTATTCATGTGTTTTAATAGTGGTAACATTACATGTATCTAGTTATGTTTCTACAAGATGAAGCATAAGATAATATCTGGGAACCAGTAGGTAAACATAACACAATATGTTGATGAATATAAAATTTTCTTTCGAAAAAGAGGAGTTGTTTGTATTTACAAAATGCAACCTTTAATGAATGGACCAATTTACTATAAAGTGCAAGCGGACACATAACTAACTAGTGATGGTAATTTTAAATTCATCCAGTTAATAATAAAGCACTATGGAACGAATTCGTTATAACATTATCGTGTCGAAGATTTATTTATCTTCCAATTATGCAATTGAATCTTGAACTATATTTCAATTAGCTGCACATAACTTAATTTGTATTCTTTTGATTTTTTTTGTATGTTTAAATACACATCCACGTGTACATTCTATCTAGATATTGATTTATCTATATATAACATGATACATATTTATTATAAGGTTAAATCCTAACTATCCTACTGCCTGTCAATACTTTTATTTTGACATTGCACAAGTCATTTCTTCTTAAACTGTCCGTGGCGTTAAAAAACTAAAGCTCTGGGATGTGTTGTATTTGGTTTTAGTCTCTGGTGCATGATTTTTTACTTATTATTGGTTTTGGCTTTCAACTAACTTTCAGTAACTGCGAGTACTCTCAAATCGTAAGTTCGTGTTAATTTGACCAGTTGACACAATTTGTAATGCATTTTTGTTATGCAATGTTTACTTATTTGGTGTTATATCTCTGTACTCGTACTGTGTACAACAAACTTATTCGTTCAGTGTCTGTGTACTAGTTTGTGTTTATATGTCCTTTTTGATCAAGTTAGGCCATTTCAATTGATATTTTACAGTGTGTCTTTTTATGTTGTAATGTTTTACTACTGTCTCAGGTAGGACGAAGGTTGGCACCTGTTAAACATGTTAAAACGTTAAAACACGTTGCGTTTGTATGCACATGTCATAGGCAGGACCCTACTGTTCGGAGGTTGTTGTTTGTTGATTAGATTCATAAGTGTTTCTCTTTCCTCGTTTTTTTTTAAATAGATGAGACCGTGGTTTTCCTGTTTGAATTGTTTTATAATAGTCATGTTGGGGCCCTTTATACATGTTATAGGTTGCTGTTCGGTGTAAGCCAAGGCTCTGTGTTGGAGGCTGTATTATGACACATAATTGTTTACTTTCTAACATATTGTGATTTTGATGGATAGTTGTTGCAATGGCACTCATCTTCTTGTTAACATTTATTTGTACAATGTTTTTGCTCTTTCTTATTTTTCCTCTTTAATAATGCCAAGGTATGTTTGTTTGTTTAGTATAAAGTCATACAAACCACTAGACAATGATTGATAAGGTTTTGTTTGACGGTTGTAGATTTAATCGAAATAGTTTATATCGTGCTTGCTGCTACTCTGATTTCTATGTTCTAGTGAGAGATTTAGCTAGCTTTAAAATCAGGTTTAATCCACCAATGCCTGTATCAAGTATTTTTTGTTATTTTACTTTTTACTTATCTTAAAAAATTACACTATCGCTTATATAAAACATAAATGTATGACCTAACATGTTTGTATCAAACGTCACATTTTTTAGTGGACTAAGGATCTTCGGAAGGTTAAAATCCTTGCTCGGTACACTGCATTTACTGTGTTTAGAGCCGTGTTGTGCGGCGTTTAAAATCGCAGTGATAATTCATTTTTGCTGATAATCTACGAAGAAGGGTGATACCGTATCTGACACTAATGTGCAGTACATTTTCAGATTAGCTACGTCATTTAGCGATCGCAAAACTTTTAAATAATGACTTCAAATAATCAATAATGAGCCATTGGTTCAGTTTCTTCTTTATTAACACAATTTAATAAAAATGTTGTAAGCAAGACCGCTGAAATGTATTATCAGTGTTGCACATCTGTTTATTTTACACACCTTTTTTGTATGTATGACCAAGCATATTGTCAAAGTCATTGAGAGTTTAACACGTGTGAAGGTGCGTAATGATATTTAAATAGTTTTGCTATGATTTAAATACACTAAAAACACATATAACTGCATAAAGATCAAAACATGCACAATGTGTTAGTTGGATACCATTATCAGGTGAATACAGCATCCCTCACACATTTAATGACACTCAGACACACTAACATATGGACTACATATGATTAATTTTATTAGTTGAAAACATTGAGTATGTTTCCAATTATAGAGTTCAGATATATACGACGTTATAGTTGTGGGAGGAGGTATCATCGGCAGGTTCACTGCTTTGCAAATAAAAGAAACTCATAAAGAAGGAAACATTCTACTTATTGATCAGGTAATACTGTATAAAAAAAATAAAAAGACACACACTTTCCGAACTATTTTGCATCTCAAACTAATGGAATGTATCATACTAGAAATAAGAACTGACAATTTTAAGAGAAAAACTGAAGAATACTTCTTTGGAAAAAAAAGAATATACATAACAAAACTCATATGTTCTTTCTTCAGGATTTTAAGATATATTAGACGTGAAAGTCATTTCAGACTTTATAAAACCTAAAACTGATATCACTATTATTTTAGTGCAAATTGCTTTTTCTATAAATATATAAATTGTGTAAAGTTCCAATTGTTTTTTTTTCTGATCCTAAACGTTTTGTTTGTTATATTTGTTTTCTCTTCCGGGTGTTATCTTCTTCATGTTTATTATTGTTCGTGTTCTTCTGCTTCTAATAAATTCAAATGAAAAGAAAAGTAATGTTTTCGTTTAGTATACTATGCCACAGTCTCATGGTAGCTCTAAGGGTCATAGTAAAGGCATTCAGAGAGCAAATTGGAATAAAATAGAAACCTGTGCAATGAAGAAGATGAAGGACGACTCAATTTCCGAATGGGAACGTCTAAACCGTATTTGTTCTAGACCGATCGTAACGTAAGTATTAAAAAGAGACTTTGGTCATAATGTTTGTACATATCAACCGATTAGGCATACATATAATTGCTTGTGTTCGGTCGTTGGAACATTATTCGAAAAGAATTATTCACCTTTGACAACGTTTTACCCGAACAATCTTAACTGAAAAATAACTTAAAATATTCAATTGGCGATAATTATGTATGTACTACTAAGTTGTATACATTTGATACGTTAGTAATATCAAATTAAAATCGAATATTTGAACGTTTCTAGTGTGTACGTATTGCTCAATCTTTTGTATATAAACTGTGTTAAAAAAAACTAAAGGTTGAAGTATATTACAAACAAGCAAATACCTGTATACAATGACTTCTATGCGGAAATAATAACACACAGTTCCAATCGAAGCAATGGCCATGGATCATCCATTTACAAAAATTACTGTCAAAATGACAATAATTTAATCAAGAAATGAATGTTATACTTGTGGGGAATTTTGTGAGTGCATATTGTTTTTAGTTATTTGGTGCATACTAGGAACAAGCCTCATAACACTGTTATTGTTTCATTATTCGGCAACAAGTCGTTTCATAGCATCTTTAAACTTGCTTTTAAATGAAACTCGTTATTCTCCCACACTCAAAACAGAATATTTGCCTGTGGAAATGGTGGGTTTCATATCCAAGCTATGCCGATCAATAGATGTAAGTTTAAGTAACGAATATAAAATTAAGTAAGAAATCAACTATCCGTCACGGTTTTGACGTCTTGACTGATTTTTAACGAGTTTAACTCCGTGTTTATTACTACAAATAAACATTTTGCTTGTACAGTGTAGTAATAAAATTTTATATGTTTAAGAAATGAAAGAACAGGTTCAAAATTCCATGCGTCATAAACGCGTTTCTCAATTTCACTTCATTAGGAACGCTCAAAGTGGAGTAATTAAAAGCAAAAGTTTCCAAAACCAAAACTGTTGGAGAGCTCTATAACCAAAAACGAAATTTAAAAAAAGCAAAATCAGTCTTAGGTCAACGTTTCCTGGGGAGTTGAAACCTTAGTTTCTTTTTAAATTCTAAATTTATCAACGGAAAATATTAGAAAGGTTTGTTATGAATGATGTCAGTACCGAATCTGATGATAACTTCGGGAACCGATAATTTACCGACAGGTGTATCGACCGAGTGCTGTAAAAAAATGAAAACATGAGGTAATAAAATTTATGCGTCCGAGGCGCTTAAGGTATAATAATGCAAATGACAATTGTTTGTGATTCCTATCGTTGGCTGATACAGTCAAAGTTTTGTGTATGTCAGATGTTATGGACTTACTCCATTATTAAACTTTTGAGTTTGGTATGTTTTAATAGCTTCTGCACTAACTCGTGAATTGCATGAAAAGAGTTTTACATAACCGCAACAAAAAGATGAATAACATAAGCTTTTGTTAAGTTCTTTTCCTTTCATGTTTCTAATTTTTCTGTTTATCAATTTATATATTAGTACATTTATTTATTCTAGTATTCCAGCTTAAACATGTTAAATGAAATCTGATATAAAACTGCGACTTAATTTCAATCGTCCATACAAGAATTGGACAATAATATAAAATATCAAACAGTTTCAAGTTAACAGTGCAACAAATGCATGTCGACAATACCTATATATTTAGTGATGCTATGGCCAAATATCCAAAAAAGCAACACTACATACAAACGTCCACAAGCAAATATGACAAACAAGATCCAAAAAATATGGTAAAAAACGGAAGTTAATCAGATTGATTGTTTGATGATTAATTGATTGGTGTTTAACGCCACTTTAAACACTACAAAATAGCACAATAGTGTTTAAAATAGCACAATAGTGTTTAACGCCACTTTAAACACTATTGTGCTATTTTGTAGCGGTCAGTTTCTATTGGTGGAGAACCACCGACCTTCGGTAGGAAAACCCAAAATTATCCTTGTCATTTAAGATTCGAGTCAAGCGAACTTGACACGTGCGGGGTTTGTACAGTAGTTCAACTACTTGGGCCCATTGAAGTGAATCAGAGCTATGTATGAGACAAAAAGTTTCATTTTGTTTTGATTTAATTGGGAACATTAACGATATTCATTATCATTAATTTTTGTGTTACTGTATGTGTTTTATATTGATTATCGTTTTACCTATTTCTTGATCTTAATAATCTTTTTTTCGTTTGACCAATAAATTTTTACTAAAGTGATTGAATGACGTTCTATGAAATCAAGATAGATTGTTAATTCACATATATGTACAACATTTACAAGAGAAATTAGATGGAAACGGTGAAAAAAATAACGAAACCTTTTTTTTCATACACAGAAAAAGCAATGCATTATTTATTGGACCAACCGAAAGTGCTTTTATGAAAAATACTCTTACATCTTTAAAAAAATATCCAGACTGTCAGCAGATGAAATTTATTGATACACTTCAGCAGGATTATCCAAATATAAATTTTAGTGATAATTGCGTGGGTATTTTGGATACATCGGAGCTATGTCTCGGTGCTGATGAGATTTTAAAACAAATATTGGTGAGTGTAGACATATTAAAAGACTACAAACTCGATGTTGGTACAATTCAAAATACACGTCGTCTCTTTTCATATAAAAAATCGGGAAAGAAAAAAAGCATGATATCTTAACGAAAAAAAAAAAAAAAAAAAACACGCTTGCACAAGTTAATGCTTGACTGGGTCTTTCAAATACTATACACAATATCGCTAAACAACGGTTTTACAAAGTTGTGAGTTCGAATTAACAGACAAAACCATAACCAGCTGTATATAGATAGAACGACGTAAATAAAACAGAACAATAAACATTAAGAAAACCCTATATCTTGTTGTTTCTGCTTGTGTTAAATTTTTGCTTTTTTCACGGCAGATAATTATATTACTTATAACTTATTATACATGCCATACCTTTTGACAACACTGCAATCAGTGACATAAGCAAGATTTTTTTTAGTGACGATCTATTGATTGTTGTGATAATCCGAACTCTGTAGTATCTGTATTTTAGTATGTAGAACATGTATTTATTTGAAATCGATTGTCTGTCAGTCAATTAATCAATGCAATTTACATTTTTAACAAACCAAAACAGTTTTTTTTTCTCGCGAGTATATTTCAATTTCATACAGTGGAATATTAACCTGCTCATGTTGTCATCACATAAAAAAAACAAACCTGAAGCAAAAAAAAAAAAAAAAGAAAAATACTGCACTTTATGGTGGAGCATCATGGACCCTACAGAAACATGAGAAAACTAAAGATGTTGTCGTATGACTTTGAAAGGTAATTAGTTCCTGCATTAATAATAATACATTTCGTGTTACTCGTGTCACCGTTAATAATTTGACAAGGTAGTAAGGCATCATGCAACTTCGATTCAGTACGATTAGAAAGTATCGATCTAGGAGATCTGAAGATGGAATTCTGATTCCATTGACTGTCCTGTATCATACTACGACATGAGTTAATTAATAAACCCGTGTTATTTGACAATGTTCTGCTCCGAAAATTTGATTTAATGCAAAGCTCAAATACATATATGAACAGTTTTTCCGCAACAATAGATACTAGAAGTCAAAATTATGACTTGTTTATTTACATACATATTTTGCTTGCGAGGAAATATGCGTGTTCTTCTTTGAAAACATGAAATAGTTATGTAATGTCTCCTTCACATACACAAAGATTCTTACGATTTCTTTCAGTATGCACAATTTCACAGAACCTTACGATTTTCCTACTCTAGCAACCGATTTAAGAGTTGTTGCGAGTTATTACGAGCTATTTAATGTTTATTACGATTTATTACGATGTATTTACGGCGACGAGTTGTCTTTGATAACTACTAGCAACTTACGGGCTTATTACGGATTTTGACGAGTGTATTGTGGATATTACTACTCATCGTAACGTGTAAATTACGACTTGTTCAGTAGGTTTTACGAATAGTTTCGAGTAAGTAACCAGTATTTACGAGTCCTTCCGATTTTGCAACATCATACCTTTCCCAAATCGTAAACAATACGTAAGAATACGTAAAGTATATAAACGCATCCATTCGTAAAATAAACGCAAAGTGCTTGGTATAACTCATTACAATCCGTAAAACCAACCTAATACAACCCGAATGAAATCTTAACCCGCACGTAATAATCTGTATATAATTCGTAAACAAATTGAAAAAAAGAAACAAAAAACTACCCAAAAAAATCGGTAAGAAATTGTTAAGAGTCAAGCACGGATCCTTGCGAGCACTTTACGGTGACCAAGTGCTTTGTGTGGTTTACGATTCTTACAGATTGTTATGTGCTATTTATGAAAAAATCAATCCGGTGACATTCATCAAAAGATTTTCGGCATGTCAAAAATTTGCCTAGCCTTTCACGGAACATTAAGAGCGTCTTCGAGTTGTGATGAGTCATTTACGGATACCAGCAAAATTTACAGATGCTTGGTATTGACTACGAGTATGTTATCGTTAAAAAATCAATGTATGTGAAGGGGGCATAACTCATCTATTAATTGGAAGTGCAGTTTACATACCAATGATTAATCAAATATATATATACAGGGTTAGAACAACGGGAAGTGTTTATAGAAGCGTTTTAGGCAATTTCAATATTATTTATCTTTACATAATATATTATTATAAAAAGTTTAAAATCAATATGAACATGGAGTAAAAGACAGTTAAAAACGTTTTAGAAATATTTGAACATTGTTGCACATCAAAGAACAGAAGAAATAATCAACCCTGTTTCTGTAAACTTACTTCATTGATGAATGTGTTATTGTGTGTCTTTATTTTTTTATATCCTGGATTAGATTTTAGTTATTGAACATGTATACTGAAGGTAACATTTTGTTAGTAATGACTGTTTAATTCAGCATTTAATGTATATGTCATACTCAAAAACGTGATCAATTATTGCAATTGAACAGGAAACATTTATGAAGCTCGGTGGTATAAAAAGGACTACAAAAGTCATAAAAGTTACCCCAGGTGCTACTATTTCTGTTTGCACTGACTACTTTGAATACAGAACAAAACAACTTGTGGTTGCTACAGGTCCATGGTCTTCATCTTTTCTGCATGGATTAGGACTTGACATTGAATTTACGGTAAGTGCGTACAGGTGTATTTACAAATTTCCTTAGAATTTGAACCAGAAGTTAACTAGTCAGAGGAATTGAAAACCCAAAATGTCAGTCATCAATAAGCTATTGAAAAATTGATGATAAATTATGAGTAATCAACAATAATAAGTAAAAGGTAATCATACAAGCTTGTAGGAGTTTCTTTTGGTGATGCCAGAATATTATTGACGATACCAAGTTTAACTAAAGAACTATAAGATCAACCTAAACAAAATAGAATAGAAAGTACTAATTATATGATTACCGTGAGCACTATTGTGTTGCCAAGTTTGCTCCTTTAAAGTACTAAAAATGTATACAATGGTTGGCGAGTATTAATGAGGAGGGGTGGAAAAAGAACAACCATAAAAATCTTCGATTAATCTTACTTCAATTTGAATACGATTACATACTATTATAAACCTAAAGGAAAAAAAACATCTGAAACCTTGACATTTAATCGTGTCTTACCTGTGAGGCGATTGGAGTTTTTCAGATGAATATATTTATTTGTTAGTCTAACTGTGCCTTGTGTGTTTTTTAGCTGTTTTAATATGATAGGCTGACTTATTTTGATTCTTTCTACTATTCAGCGAAATAAAAACCCATGTCTTTGAAGGTCTAACCCTGCTGAAACAGAATAATCAATATAAATGGCAAAAAGCAATTAAATGTCACCCTCAATAATAAAATTGCTATGTATATTGCCTGCATGTTCTTTTCTGAACATGAAAGTAAGTCTTTCACATTTCTATAAAAAAAAGGAGATGTGGTATGATTGCCAATGAGACAACTCTCCACCAGAGACCAAATGACACAGATATTAACAGATATAGGTCACCGTACGGCCTTCAACAATGAGCAATGCCCATCCCGCATAGTCAGCAATAAAAAGCCCGGAAATCTAGTCCATTTCAAAATTCTATATTCATAATAATGTTCATGTTCAAGTACCTAACAATTTCTACTGAATAATAATAAAATACACACGAACAGTTCATGTTTATAAGCATCAAATATTTTCAAATTGTGCCTACTTCTGTACAGCTGTGTATACTCTTTATACTCGGATTTCATAGACATTTAATAAAATATATAAATGAAATAATATAAATGGAAAAGAACCAAAATATCAACAATTATAACATTATATATTCAACCTTAGTTTGAAAATCATTTTCCTTAATAATACTTGTTATATTAAATACTTTCAAAATAATGCGTTTTAATTTCAGAAAAAGCATGCAATGGAAGGGTATTGGAAACTTAAATCATGTCCCGAAACTATATGCCCATCAGTATTTGAATATAAAGACAAATCGATTTTCTGGACAAATTATACAACAGAGTATGGTCCCTCTTTGAAGGTAATGACGCATGACAGTTAATTTTAGTGTGGTAATACATTCATTGATTTTGTAAACATGTATTGTACATTGGAACAGGAACGACATAAAACCATACAGATATCCTTTGTTAATATCGTCTTACTCATTTGAAAGAGAATGAAGTTATTGTACGAGTGTAAATTCATATTATAAATTACTTTATGTACTTTACATATCAAATTTCAAATATGAAAAGTGAACGTTTGCATGCGTCACTGAGAAGGATACTCAACGTAAAAAAAACTAATTACATCAATAGTTTCACATACGGTTTTCAAAAATTACATGTGTCATCCTTGGTCTACAACAGTTGAGAATACATTTAACATAGAGGCGATACACATCTTCTTGGTTGATTTTAATTCACTAATTGCAAAGTGCCCTTTATTCAATGCATTCATAAGGCGTACATATGTACAATAATGTTATCAATAATGATACCAGTATGATGTGTATTTTGAAAATAATTCTTGTTAACAAATTTTAAACATTTTTACAATTATTTATGTTGCTATGGCATCTATGTTCATAGATCAAACTAGAGTCCGTGACTAAACTAAAGAATCTAAGCCTTATTTTAGCCTAGATTTTCAGTATGTGTACGGTCATGTTTAATGTCTATCTCTAGATTCGACTTACGCGACAAGGTAACACTACGAATATTGAAGTTATATTTTTTATATAGCGGATGTGGTCGGGTGGTTTAGAACGCTGGACATGAGGCTAAGCAATTGGCGCAGTAGTGTATCAAAGGTCGAATCCCGTGAAGGAACAAATTTGTCAGCATAACAATCTAATTCTAAAACTGTTGAGTTCAATTTTCAGACTTACATATATATATATAAATGTAAAATGCAAATAATTCACTTGCGCTAGGTGTAAATAGTATTCAATTACGGTTTTTACATTTTTGTATATTTTAGGAGAATAATATTTTCTGAAGAAAGGTAGATACCCTTTTCAGTTTCCGTATTTTAATTCTAATGTTTAATTTTTAAATAAATAGAATTGAAATGAAGGACTTTTAAAACTGTGTGATACGGGTTCTCCGATAACGGAGGAATTGTCTTAGAAGAAAAAGACACATACTATTGATATCGGTATCGGACTCGACTTGGAATTTGTTAATCATGGGTAATATTAATCATGTGGATAAAAAAAGGCCCGGAATTGTGTAATTTTAAATCAACAACACTGACCTATATTAGTTATATAAATAATTGAATTCTTTAATCCGTCGGTTTTACATCACGCCGGCTAACAACTTGGACCTCGTTATGTTAGTAGACTAGATATACGCATTGGTGATTGTTGATGTTGACATTTTATATCATTACAGCTTGGTTTTGCCGGAAAAGAAATAAGCGAAGAAGATCTAAAGAATGTCGAAACAATGCACGACAAAGAAATGGTAGCTTCTATGACAAAATATGTTAAAAATAAATTCAGCAAATTGATAACAGACGATGAGCCTTTTTTGGTACAAAATTGCATGTATACGGTAACTGAAACTTTTATGTAATTTGCATTCTAATGTTTGGTGGTTTTCTTCACTATTGCTTATTTAAAGATTGTTTTTTTGAATTTTTAAATCTGCATTTGGCTTTGTCTTTAATGTGCTAACCCCGCCGCTTTTCTGCGCCTGTCCCAAGTCAAGAGCCTCAGTCTTTTATTAGTCTTGTGTGAATTTTAATTTTAGTTCATGTATATGTTTTGGAGTCTAGTATGACGTCCATTATTACTGAACTAGTACACAATTTTGTTTAGGTGCCAGCTGAAGCACGCCTCTCCGGAAACGGTATTTTCTCGCTTTGTTGAAAACCCATTGGTGGCCTTCGTCTGTGTTCTGCTCTTTGGTCGAGTTGTTGTCTCTTATACACATTCCCTCTTTCCATTTTCCATTTTATATTCAAGGGAATCCATTCCAGTTATATGATAGGTTTCCGTTGCTAGATTATTAATTTCAGTGCAGTCCAATTATACTTTTGATTGTCGCATAGGTATCTTTTTTTTATTCTATAAAAATATTTATAAGATTTAAAACATTTTGTTTAATGCAAACTCACAATATATATAATTTTTGTAAGTTCTCGTGAAGATGGTTGTCTCACAAACTGATGTCTACTCTAGTAGCGAAAATACTGAAAATTAATGGAACATAATTGTTTATTTAAAAAGGCAAGACAAAACATTTGCAAGCTCAATAATTGAAATGTAAAAAAAAAAATGTCAATATTTATTAGACATATGTCAGTTTGACGAATAATCCTTTAGTTGGATTCCTGTATAGTTACAGTCAACATGTTGATTGAAAATATGCAAAATTAAAACTTTTTTTTTCTTAAAAAAAAATTAAAAAAAATTAAACTATGATTTTTAGAACAAAGGATGGTTTTACAAAACATATAAATGCCAATCCATAAGACATTCAGATATTGCATGGTGTACTTACGCAATTGTTACAGGTTAGACAAGCATTATTTAGTGCTGTAAAGGATTAATATCCAATTAAATTTATCTAGAGAATATTACATGGCCAAATCCGTATCACATGCCGTATTATCCTGATATACTAATATCAGCCCGAGGACCCTCAGGCCCGAGGGATGATATTGGTCGAGGGTGATACGGCATGTGATACGGAGTTTGCCATGTTTTATACGCTTTATCATATATTTGAATAGGAGAGTATATAGGAACTGCTTACTGATCCAAAGCACCTGGGTTACCTTCAAATTCATTTTTGCCTGGTTTTAAAAGATGAATCACATATAGGAACTGCTTAATCATTCATCTGAAGCACCTGGGTTACCTTACAATTTGCGTCCTGTTTTCCATAAATATATTATGTTTAATGTAGTTTTGTGTTGTTTGTTTGTGTTTCTTATTGTATTTTATTGGTTTTTTTTTTATCCTCCTGTAATAATATTCATTCTGAATAAAATCTGTTAGATCTAATTAATAAAAAAATAGTAACAATAAACCAACAATTTAATAACAGTTATACTCCATCGGAAAACCTCGGGTGACTTCGGTTCTCTTCATCTATCATTGGATGGAGGTACGGAGGTACGAGTTGTGACGAATGCAATTAAACTGTAATAAACAAGAGACTACTTTAGTAAAATGTGCACTTTTGAAATATACAAATTTAAAGTTTAACCCTCTTGCTGCCGTTGCATTTCATGTGCCAGAAAATATGAAAGCTCGAAGTTTGTGACGTCACATGCTTAACAATAACGTCATTCGATCAATGACGTCACGCCCTAATGACCTTTTCATTTGGGACCCATTGAAGAAAAATATTTCACTGATGAGAAGCTTGCACAATAAAACCATGGACTTCAGGCAAATTTGGTCGAAATGAGAAATCCGTTTAGGGGTGCGATAAAGGGGTGTGCTAAAGGGTATGATAAAGGGTGCGCATCAAAGTTGAGCAATACGGATTCAACAGCAGGCTATTTATCAAATATTCAAAACTATTGTATTTACTACTAAATATATGATAAATTGTTATTATACATTGTAGTTTACCAAAGACAGGAAACCTATAATAGGGCGCCACCCGGAATGGGGCAATATATTTCTTGCAGTTGGAATGTCAGGTAATTCAATTTGTTTTTTGTCGTTTTCGTAATTACATAGTTGCCCCTGATAGGATTCTTCTTTATGATTCCATAATTTGAGAAAGATACACCAAACCTTCATTATTATCACTCTTCATTTTAAGAATTATAACAAAATCGCTATAACATTGGTTTTGAAACAACTATACGGTTACATAGTTACAACAGGAAACGATAAAGATATTTTGACTTGACTTTTTTTTTCTAAATTAACCTATGCGAAATGTTTCATTTAAGTAACATTTTCATAAAACAACATTTAACTAATATTTGATATTCTTGTTTCAGGAACAGGATTTGGTTATTCACCTGCAATTAGTAATATTGTCTGCGACTTGGTCTTAGGAAATGAACCAAAGTATGACATATCTGAATTCAGCGCTACCAGATCCAGTTTAAAGACTGAGAAAAAATAATCCTTTTCTCATAATTTTCTTATTTCTTTTAGTAATAATTGATTTTGGTGAACTCATTTATTAATCTGAATGTGATCTTATTTTTTTTACATCGATAGTGAATAGTTGTTTTTTCTAAGTTAGCAATTTTAAATACATTTTGTTAACATCGGAAATGCTGCATTGTACAGGAGTTATTTCAATTAATTGTGCAGTGTTATAATTACTACTAACGTTAGTTCTAATATTCCAATATTAGTATTCATGGTTTTCAAACTATAATCTTATTGCGGTATTAAATAGGGTCTTATATTTCGATGAACAAAAAACTATTTGACAATCTGTTTTTCAACCCTCTGTCAGTTGGACGGAAAAAAAATAAAATCAATGAAGCATATGCATTTTCTAACATGAAATTTATTAGATATTTGGATTGACAATACTTCAGTGAATAAAAGACAAATGGCTTTGTTTGTATCCCACTATACCTATGGCTATGGATAATGCTACATAATTACGATACAAGGCGCGACGAAAGGAGAGAAATCATTAACCAAAAGTGAACTATATTTGTTTCAAATATATAAAAGATTAACTCACAGTAAGATATAAAATCAAGTCCAAAATTTTGTAAAGTTTATAATTCGTTGATTCAAGTCACTTCCAATTATATTTTCAAGTTTATAATCCACGTTTGTCCTACTAATGAATATTGTTAATTCCAAAATTCACGTTTTGATAAGCATGATAAGTGTGCCAGACTGATATTTCCAAAGATTAATATATATATCCAATTTATCAAACACTATCACAAGTCAATACATGAGGTCCTACATTAAGTCATTGCAAATCAAGATATCTGTTACATATGACTTTGTTACTTTTTTATCCTATCCCTAGCCTTGATAGGTTCATTCCCCTTTTTTAATCTGCTTGTTTTGTTCACACGTCGTTGTCAATATAATGGAATTTGATGCGACTGTCATACAAGTGAGAGGTTAAGCTAGCTATAAAACCAGGTTTAATCCCCCATTTTCCACATAAGAAAATGCCTGTACCAAGTCAGGAATATGACAGTTGTTATCCATTCGTTTGATGTGTTTGAGCTTTTGATTTTGCCATTTGATTAGGGACTTTCCGTTTTGAATTTTCCTCGGAGTTCAGTATTTTTGTGATTTTACTTTTCACCTTTTTAAAATGCAATGTCAAATAGAATCTTAACAATGATTTCTACACCAATGGTGCATTATTAGTTTTAATTGGTTGTTTAAAAAAACAAATGGTCAATAATCTTTTAGATCCGAAAATATCTATCTTTTTTTTTCTTTTTGATGTACTTTAAAGTCAAATAGACAGGTCGCATAGAGTGTTTGCAGATCGCCTAGACTAAGTCTTAAATAGAATTTTTAAATATCTACTTAAATAGTGTACAGACTATTTTTATCTTTTACATAAACAATGATACATAAGTATATTAATTGAAAGTGTGAACTGTGTACATAATGTTTTAAGTGTAAATATATTAGTGGAAGAATTTTCATATCCTATTGCGGTGGTGGCACTATTCTATTGTTTTACTCCAAATACAGAGACGTGCCTATATTGGCAGAAATTCATTGGATAAAGAATACAGAATACAATGTCTTTATATAAATTTTACATTTATTTGTTACATATCGTGTAGCATTCTTTCATTTATTTGGTCCGTTATTTATAGATAGGTCAACGTTGTTTATATCAACGTGTTTGCTCTTATACTTTACTTTGACATATTCAATATTGAAAACGGCGTTCATTGCGAATATAGCTTTTTCTCTTCTGAAATAAACAGATTAATACAGTTGGATTCTCAGTTTTATTACTGATATTTGTCCATTGTCTAAGTAACCTAATGCATCGTCGAAATTGCAAATTATTACCTTTCTTTTTTAAAGCTAGTTACAACCATAGTAGTAGCTTTGTCTCATAAAGCTGAACATACTTTTCCACTCTTTATACTACACTTCCACATAATGGTATCACACACAAATTTCCTATCTAATTTAAAGGTTGTTTGATCTATGATTGAAAAAGTGTTTGCTGCAACTCATACATGTAATATAAAGCCTTTTTCTCCAATGAGAAAGGTAAAAATGCTAGATATGCTTAAATAAGGTGTGATTAGATGAGTCAAACCCTATATGTTCTCTTGGACAACCTTGATGTACGTTTCGGCAATACATTTTATCGACAGGTTGTAGGTATTCCTATGGGCATCAAGTGTGCTCTTTATGTAGCAGATTTGTTCCTTTACCGTTATGAACCACAGTTTATGGCCAAACTAAGTAAAGAAATTCAACAACACTAACCGCTATCTTGCTGGGTTTTTTTTAGTTATTAAATCAAGAATTCTCTGAACATACTGCTGATATTTACCCAAAGAAAGTTACTTTAGATAAATCAAATATTAATAGCAATAACTGTCCTTTCCTAGATTAAGATATTTCAGTATTACATAAGAAACTCTACAGAAAGATTTACGACAAAAGTATTGATTTTTCTTTCCCTTTTGTTTTTTATTATTTTTTTTATTTGCACATGAACATAATAGTCATGAGAGTAAGTTATACACATTTTATGCACAATGGTTATAATATATATGCATAATATATACAACATATTAGATAGACACAGCTGAAATAGTTTGGTACATTGCAGATTATGATTGCAAGACAAAGGCTGTTTGGATATAGAATACATACAATTTTAATATATGGTGTCTGTTGTTTATCTTTGTTTTTATTACAATAAAGGAGTCCAGGGGTTCTAGCAGTTCTCTGCCCTAAAGAAAAAATAAAATACATTTTTTTTCTATTAAAAAGTTTTCTTTCAAATATTTTTTTAGTGCTATCATATTGGTTTGTTCCACTGATAACTTGCTTCTATAAATGTTAAATTTTGTTAACAGAATTATTAAGTTTCTTATGTAATTCTTATCTGTTTTTGTTAGAATCCTAAATAAACCACATCAATATTCAAAGTTAGTTTATTTCTATCTTCTCAAATGTCCAGTAGTTAATCTTTTCCCTTAATTTTGATATATATGGACAAGTCCAATATATATGTTCTATTGTTTCGACCCCTCCGAACCCAGCACTACACTTATTTGTATCTTTAATCTTTATTTTATAGAAAAGTTAATTCGTGCCTCAACTTCGAAGTATTATTCTGTATTGAAACCACTGCAATTTTGTAGTTTTGGTAATATAAAAGGGCAATACATGGATATTTTTACAATTGTTGTTTGTATTGAGAATAAATGACCATTTTGTTTCACATTTTTGTTGAGGATTTGACTTTTTACTATTTAAAATATTATACATGTCTTTTGAACCTCTCAGGGATTAAAAAAAAACACCTTTAAAACTCAGGGCAAAACTTGGCCATTTTCTCTCATTAAGTCATTGGGACATACATTATATTCTTTTAAATACTTTTTTATTGCAAAAAATGTGTAATGAAATTAGGTTTAATATTGTACACTTTTTTTAAAGTTATCAAAAGTAATAAAATTTCAATCATCCTCTAACAAGTTGTTAATCAGCCAAACCCCTTTTTTGTCAAATCTTTATATAAAACTGAATGGTTTCCAATCTTTATTTTATCATTCTTCCATGTATGGCAAGTGTTAATTTGGGAGTTATTTTGTATATTTTGAAGATATTGCCAAGCATCAAATAGTTCTTTCCAAAATGGATTATTCAGCTTTTTATAGGGGCCAAGAAATTGCATATCCAAAAAAATCAATTTTTTGAAAAGAGGAGTTTCAGAAGTTTTTAACTCTATTAATTTTCTCATCAAAGTTAGTTTTAAACCTTTTATGTAGTTTTCAATATTTATCATTTTTAGACCTCATAAACAGTGTGGTTTGGATAAAGTGTCTCTATTAACTTTATCAGGTGTGTTATCCCAGGCGAAGACAAATATTTTTTTTCAGTAAAATGATTAAGCTTTGTCCTACTTGGGCTAGGTAGGACATGAAAAGATGGTTAAATTTTGATATTATAAGTATTATTATCACTGCTACTTTTCCAATTGGTGAGAGTATTTGGTTTGTCCAATTTTCTTTGATATTTTCGATTTCTTTCGTCTTTGGGTCATAGTTTAAATTTTCAATTTCATTAAGATCAACTGAGAAATTTATCCCAAGAAGTGTAAATCTGCTGGAAACCACTCCAATCCCCACTTAACACACATAGTTTCTTGGCTAAACTTTTCCTTCCCAATCAAAACAACCTTGGTCTTGACTAAATTTATATTTAGACCTGATAAATCTGCATATCTATCTAGAGTACGGAGAGATGCATCCAAAGATTCTGGTGATCAATCAAGTACAAGAGAAGTATCATCTGCATATTGTGAAATGAGATACTCTTAGTCATCTATAGCGATTCCTTTAACTTTGTCATTATTTCGTATAAGTATATCAAGTATCCTTGTACACAGTAAAAATAAATATTGTGACAGGTGATCCCCTTGTCGACAGCTTCTCTAAATCTAAAAAAATTCTGAGAGATTGTGTAATTTTGAGTTACTGCAAATTGAATTTTATTTTAAAAAGTAATGATCCAATGTTTAATAGATGGTCCGAAATTAAAAAAGTCCAATACACTTCGAATAAAACTCAAAGAAATCGGGTCAAACGCCTTTTCAAAATCAATTAGGAGGAGTATACCAGGTATGTCATTTTCTTCTGTAAAAAATAAAATATCATAAATTAGTCCAGTATTTTCACCAATATATCTTCCGGGAATGAACCCTGTTTGATCATTATTTATTTAAGGTTATAAAATAGAATTCAACCGCTCTATAATACAGCTAGACTCAAGTTTATATATTGTGTTTTAAAGACTTATAGTTCGCCAGTTTTTCATACATTGTCTTGGTTTATCTCCTTTTAGTTTACAAGTGATTACACCCTTTTTTTCAGATACTGACATTCCACCCATATTATACCTATAGTACATTCCACCCATATTATACCTATAGTGAATGACCGTAGAACAAATTTATCTAAATTTATCAAAATGAATTTAAAAAACTCACTGGTATATCCATCCGATCCGGAACTTTTCTTATGTTTCCTTCTTTTCATAGCTGCTGTTAATTCTGAATAAGAAATTTCTACCTCAAAAGTGTCCCTTATTTCATTTGTTAACTTTTGAACATCTAAATATGGAATTTCCTTATTGAGATCAAAATTATCTATTGTATCTTTTTTGAATTTAAATACTTATAAGTTTTTGGCCTCCAGTTAAATCTGTTCTTGTTTATTTATACAACAGCGTTCATTATTGACTAGTCTTGGAAATGTTTTATGAACATAATTCTTAGTTTCTAAATTGAGAAAATATTTTGATGATATTTCTCCTTCTTTTACCTATTGCATTTTTGAACGTACATACTGACCACGCATTCGTTTCTTGTTTTAAAATTTGTAATTCAGATTTTGTTTGCTTGAGAACTTCAAGAGTTTCTGTGGTTTATATATTTTCTTCCAATTTTCTGAATTCCATTTACCTAAGCATTTGCAAATTTATTTTTTATTTTTTATTATATGATGCAAATGAACTTGTTTTACCCCTAATTTCAGTCATTAATGTTTCTAAGAACAACTTATCATTTTGTGGACTGAATATCTAAGCAATCGACCTGATATAGTGTGTCTCTATTGTTTACTAAAGTTTCATATTGATCCTTGACTTGTTTTATTTTTTCTTTAACAGTTTTAACATATTCTATATCATACAATAAACTATTATTAAATTTCCATAAATCCTTCCTTATATTGAAATCAGTTATTTTAAAGTGTAAAACTATTGGTGAATGATCAGATCTATAGCTGTTTTGGATTTCTACTTCTTTTATATTTTGGTAGAAAATCCGAGATACAAGGAAAAACAATCAAGCCTTGCTTGCTTCAGAGGATTAATTTGTCTCCATGTATATCGTTTCTTTTCTGGGTAAAATTCTCGAAAAGGATCAATTAGATCATAAGTTTTAATTAGTTCAAAAACTGTTTCTCTTGCTCGTGGATTATTTATATTTATATAGTTGTAAGTATCTAATGCCTGATTTTGGACTAAGTTAAAATCTCATGTCAGAATAACTTGTTGGTAGTTTAAATTTTCTATTTTTATTTACTTTATTATTAGGTGTCATTATTTGGTCCATATAGATTAACAATTGTTATATGTTTACCTTCAATTGTAATGTCAACACCAAGGAAATTTTCTTTTTCATCTTTCTTTATTTTGTTTATTTTATATTCACGATTATTTGCAAATAAAATGGGAACTCGTCTTTGATTGGAGGCAAAAGAATTAAAACTGCATTCTCCTCCCCATTGGTTTCTAATAAATGATTCATCTTTTTCAGTAAAATGTATGTCTTGCAGACAGTAAATGACAGAGTTTTGATTACAGTATTCGAACACATCTCTCCGTTTCTCTCTAGAAGTTTAACCTTGACAGTTGTATGACAAATTTTTTTTGATGTATCCTTAGTCATTTTAGTAGCTAAGATATAGAATAAACATTCCATTTACTAATTTCACTCCTCTGAATACACTTTGACTCATACAACTGTCTATGCAAACATTAAGCTGTTATATTGTATCTGTATAAACAAGATGATATATAAATCTACCTTCATACATAAACAAACCTTGGTAAAATATTGTGCAAACAAGAATTGTAATAAATAAAAAAGCAAGAGTAACAAAAGTCATAATTGACATCACTACAAACTGCTCAGAGTCTGAAAAGACCATATTTTACATATTATACTTGATAAGACTCGACATAATCTCGATAGTACTTAACTGTACTCGACTTTACTTAATAAGTCTGATTCAGTACTTGATAATCTTGGTATTGTTTGAAATGGCCTTGATAAATGCTCGACCAGTCTCGACCTGTTTTAACCTTTAAATTTAGTCTAGACAGGTCTGAATCAGCCTAACCGAACTAAATTATATATTGATCTTACAAAATTCTAGGTTATTTGGTAGTTTGATTTATTGCTGTCAAATTCTGTTCATTGAAGCATTGTGTTAATGTAAAATAAAGTTATTGTTATTCTAGAAATCTGATTTGACTGTTCATATATATTATTATAAAGCAATATTTAATAAAATTATATCTTTTCAAATGACATATATTTCAGGAAAGTTAAGCAACATTTATGTATATCTTCGTGTCTTTTTAAACTGTTTGAAAACATTCATTCTGCATGCAAAATAAGATTTGCAGAACAGGATGCAACCCTCTGTTGCACCGTGGAAAGTCGTAAGGTTGTAAGTCATTGGCGTAGATGGAATAAGCTAGTAAACTTGACCTGATGCAAATCAATTCTTGCTTTTGGTATATATATTGTTATAATCCATGTGTCATGAATATTCTATATTAATTTTATGTAAAAAATAAAAATAATATTTGCCTACACCTCAGTCATGATTTATTGACTTTGAAATTTTTCAATGGTTTAAGTTTATGATTAGGTAAGTGTAAGGGAAACCAATAATGTCAAGTCAATGATATTTAATGTGTAGTTGTATTACCTTTGACATATGTAGTATCCATTTGATTATAAGGCCTGACATCTTCAGTCATGGTTCATTGACTTTAAAAGTTTTCATAATTTAAATTAGGCAATCTCAGGTGATTCAGAAGGGTGAGCATGTCTTGCTCCTTGCAAGACATCACCCAATTTCTCAAAATGATCATGTTCTGGAATTGAGGAAAGGGTATATCACAATGAGTGTGCTGTTGTCACTCGGTACTTTATTTGTACCCTACTGGGAAAACCGATGGGGACTTTAGGTTTGCACTCTGTCCGTCAGTCTACGTCCATCAATCAGTTTGGCAAATCAGTTTTCTGTACTTTTTTCGTCACGCTTAAAGATATTAATTTAATAATTGGTATATAGTTTTACCATGACAAGTTACAGATCAAGTTTAAATTTTGTTTCGGTCTAGTTTTTTTTTGCAGAGTTATTGTCCTTGGACTTAGTAAATTAACGCAAGTAACAAGTTTTCCGCACTTTTTTTCGTCATGCTTGAAGACATTGATTTGATATTTGGTATATAGTTTTATCATGACAAGTAACAGATCAATAGAAATAAGATGTGGTATGAGTGCCAATGAGACAAATCTCCATCCAAGACACAATGTAGCTAAAAAGGCAATTATAGGTTACAGATCAGCCTTGGTTCACACCAAACAGCAAGCAATAACGGGCCCTAAAAATAACCAGTGTAAAACAGTTTGAATTTTGTTCTAAAACAATGAATTCCAATCAGTAGGTGACTATGTATTGCCA